AATATGGTATGGGGTAATGTTCCTCCATGGATATTTCCAGTTCCCGATGTAGACTTGCAACTTTTAGAACTAAAGAAAGAATGGACTGAAAGGAACGCTGATAATATTGGATATTTGGTTCAGGAATATGTTAAGCAGAACTACTATCAGTATATACCAATATTCACTGATGGATCTAAAGATTCAAGGAATGATCATGTAGGAGTAGGAGTGTACATACCAGAGTTTGATGTAACCATATGCAAAAGAATTAATGACAAATTATCTGTATTTACAGCTGAAGTAGTAGCCATAATTTTAGGATTAAAATGGGTAGAAAAAGTAAAACCTCAAAGAGTTATTATCTGTTCGGACTCTGTTGCAGCTCTTAATAGTTTGAATTCAACTGAAACAATAAGAGAGGATTTATATAAAGAGATATCCATGATAATGTTAAATATAGAGAGAATTGGAATTAATCTTCAGTTTTGTTGGGTTCCAGCTCATACTGGCGTGGAGGGCAATGAGATAGCAGATTTGACTGCAAAGAATGCACTGAAATTAAAGGACGAGGAAATAATGAAAGTCCCATTTGGTAAAGGTGAGGCCAAATCATTAATTAAAACAAAAGTGAGAGAATCATGGCAGAAAAAGTGGGACATAGATAACAAAGGGCGATATTATTATAATATTCAGAAATCGATTAACGTCAAGGCTTTTAAAGGGAAATGCAGAAGAGAAGAAGTGATTATATCAAGATTAAGACTTGGAAGACTTGGACTAAAATCAACCCTGTTTTTAATGGGAAAATGCATATCAGATAATTGTGATGACTGTAATGACTGTAATGTAATATTTCTTTTAAAATTATAATACATTATTATTAGGATAAATTATAATAAATGTAACAATCATTATTTTGTTCATGTTTGCTTCCTTTGGTACTCTTATGACATCTGCCATGCAGGTGCATCGTTGGTGAAACCCCTGCCTATAAACCTAACTGATCAAAGTGTCACTGGTCCTGACCTCTTCTCTAAACTTGTACCCATGGCAACTCATGAGGCCTCATCCCTTTATAGGTCAGCTGGTGCATCAGTAACATGCTTTACTTGTTATTTTAATGTTTAAAATCTATGTGGAAAGTTCATATTTGTAACTGTTATGTCTTTTTCTTCCCTTTTTCTCTCTCTTAGTGAGGAGAAGGCAAAGTTACTTAGGGACAGTGTGGCTAAAATAGAGGATAAAAACCAAATCCTTGAGTAAGTTACTCAAAAACAAATACTGACTAATACAGGATATTCTGTCATCATTTACTCACCCTTAAAAAAAAAGTATTTCAGGTTTCCAGGAATGATGAGCAAATAATGATAGAATTTCCTATTTTCGGTGAACTAACCCCTAAGCAAATCTGCCCTGTGTATCTATAGGCTTGTACAGTAGCTGAAATGTTTTCCTCTTTTCTCTCGTACTCTGTGCAGGAAATTTATGGAGTCTCTAAGCAGTGACTCTGTGTATAAAATAGACATGTTTAAATCTCTGCCTGACGCTCTGTTGGAAAAATGTGCATTTCTCAGTGTACGACCAGACACTGTCAAGAACCTCGTTCGGGCCATGCAAGGTGAGAGTGAACACACACGCACAAACTTAAAATTAGGACAAAAACATGAATTTTGTGATAATTAAATGTGCATTCTGACATTTAGCAGTATGTTTCTTTTTTTTAATCAGTCAGTTCAACATTAAAACTAAGAATTCTAATATGTAGTTTGTAAACTGTTGTGTCTTTGATAATTCTGAACAAATACCCAACAAATTCCTATTATCTACTATTGTTGTTTGATTTATTTATTTTTTTTGATGGATTTGATGACATCCAATTATGTGTGTTACCCTCCTTGTGAAGGGTGTCAATTATTGTCTTCTGGACAACTGTCAGGTCAGCAGTCTTCCCCATGATTGTGTAGCCTAGTGAACCAAACTGAGAGACCATTTTGAAGGCTCAGGAAACCTTTGCAGGTGTTTTGAGTTGATTAGCTGATTGGCATGTCACCATATTCTAATTTGTTGAGATAGTGAATTGGTGGGTTTTTGTTAAATGTGAGCCAAAATCATCACAATTAAAAGAACCAAAGATTTAAACTACTTCAGTCTGTGTGCATTGAATTTATTTAATACACGAGTTTCACAATTTGAGTTGAATTACTGAAATAAATGAACTTTACCACAACATTCTAATTTATTGAGATGCACCTGTACATGCCATAAAATAAAAAGATAACATGAAAATATGTATATAAAATACCAAAAAACATGGTTATTGGTTACTATAGTTAAACCATGGTAAAAACAACATGTTTTGCTACACTAACCTTAGTTTAACCATGGTATTTGTAGTAAAACTGTGGTTATAGACTACAATTAGTAATAAAAACGCCAAAAAAAAAAAGTGCTTATCATTACCCATTTTACTCTTAGTAATTTAATAATTTAATAAATTTCATAATTTAAAAGTTTAGTTCAGAAGTATCGAATCGGTATCGATATCGACGATACTGCCTTGAAAAATATCGGTATCGTATCGAAAACAAAATAAGTGGTATCGCCCATCCCTACTTATTGGCGACTCGCGTGCGTACATCGCCACCTATAGGGCTGCTCAATTATATTTAACAAAGAGGGACTCTCAAACTGGGAGAAAAGACAAAAATTATAAAAAATTATATGACTGTTATATTTTGATAACGCCATTGCTTTGAATATAGTATAGTAAAATACAAACACCACATTATATGAAAACCCCATCTTTTTTGATGTTTAATGCTAATGCAATGTGTCATTATATAAATGTACATAATGTAAAAAAAAAAAGAAGAAAATAAATAAACTTTTCTCTCAATAATTAAATTCTTACTCGTGTGCCAAGCCCGCGAAACCGCGCGCACACAGCCCGACTCCCCTTTGAGTGACATCCCCAGCAGTGCGTTTTCCTCAGGTAAATTAATTTTTTACTTAACCAATTTAGTTAAATTACTTTTTACAAGTACAGGCCGACAATAAAAGTAAATTACATTTAAAACTATAAAGAAAGAAAGTAATACAATTTAATTATAATAAGTTATTATAATAACAAACAGTCTGAGGGAATAGTTCGTTTTTCTTAAGGAAATAACAACTAAAATAAATCGCGGCCGTTTTCATTCGTGAAACCCATTAAATTGTAATAAAAATTGGACTGTCTTTTCCGGTAAATGTGTGGTACATTTACCGGAAAAGACACACAGACAACGACTTTCCCTCATCAGCGCCGTTAAACGCCGTTAATTGCTGTTACATCACTGTGACATCATTGCCAATGGAGCCAATCCGCTCAGTTTGAGAGACGCTCTTTCGTTTCAGAGTTATCTGTCATGTTAACATTACTTAAAAAGAGACCACTTAATATCTTCATTATTCATATTTGTACAGAAAGTAGTGCGTTAATTGTCACAGGGTTGACTGCGAGCGCGTGAGCTCCCTCTCTCTCCCTCTCTCATGGCGCATGCACCTAGAGAGAGGGAGAGACAGTGTTTTCCCATTTTAACATTAAAATACACAAGGCAATTAGCACTGAAAGAAGCAGAAATATGTATTAAGCAGATCGTTTTGTGTTAAAATCGCTCACTTTTAAACACCGTCACAAAAGTTACTTTGTGGCAAGGAATAAAGGAAACTTTTTTGTTTGTTTGTCACAGCGTAACCGACGAAGTAGTCGTAGTCGTAGACGTAGTCCACGACGAAAGGTAAGTTGTCACGATTTGGTACATATGTTTCACTTACGTTGCGGGTATTTAAAGCCCGACTTATTTAGAACAAACTAGTATTTATTTATTTTTAATAAAATATATTCATATGGCAAAAATAGTATAGCAAAAGTAGACTTGTGTGCATGGCAAAATAACCCAATAATAGTGTATAATATCTCTAATTGGCTGAAAGCCCTTAGCAACACTCAGATTAATCTCTGATTGGTTTGCGCAGGAGATACTGATCTGAAGATTAACCTGTTGAACGTTTGATTTCAAATTGTCTGTAAACGCGGCGATTTTATTTTTTATCATAGATGTACTCTCACAATCAACGGTAAGTTTATCATCTACTGGTCCTATTTTATATCAATAAATACATTTCTATAAAGTTCTTAAGCGTCATCAATTGTCAAAGGTTTTTCACGTGTTCATGCACGTGTTATGGGCCATTTGTAACGGTCCGTGTTCTTTAATTTTATACTGATTCTGTTTGGCTTTTAATTACAGAACATTCTCTGCTTTTCATACCTCAGCACTTTTATTTATGTGCGCCGGCGCATGTTTAAGAGTCTCTGCAATTAAACTTTCTATCTCCTTCTCCCCAAGACCAGCTTTCCATTTCATGACCGCATCTGGAATTAAACAGAAGTCACAGCCGTTACAGTATGTAAGTACCATAACGTTGTTCATGCTTGTTTTATCAGTGTGTTTATTCATATGTTCAATTGTGTATAAATTAGATATAAATGTCAAGTGTATAATTTAAATACAATGTATACACATAATTTAATTAATCATACTATTTTGTCATACTATAAAAATCATACTAATTAAAGTATCTTTACAGATGTGGACGCATATAGGTAGCGAAATTCAATTTAATATGCAAAATGGCAATGCAATATTCAAAATGGCAAGGCAATATTCAAAATGGCATTGTATTTCTGTATTTAAATTGACATTTTCCATTACCCATACGTGCAAAGTTTGGTGCAAAAGGAAAATGCACATCTGAATATTTGGGTTGAAGTGTTCTGGAACAGTTTTGTAAATACAACTTAACCACTGATTTCTAGTCATGTCCATTTTTGGAAAGCCAAACAAAGTAGTTTCGCTTTCACAACGAAACACAGCGTCACACACGGCGGCCTGGAGTGAGCAGAGGCGGCGGGCTTGAGAACGGCGCGGTCAGCGAATTCGACGAAGGATTGCGGCAACCACATGTGACGACCCCGGGCTGGACTCTGCTTGAAACACACAGCGTCTCGACATGGCGGCATCAATACTACAGCGAGAATAAAGTTATGCCTTCTTTCTTTGTGTGAACATTTGGGCGGCGTTATGCAAATCTTCCCACATCGTGACGTAGACATGTGGGGGCGTGTTAGAACGAGCTGTTTTAGGTAGGCATGGTTGACTCTTAACTTTTATAAAGAATATCTCTTTGGATTTGAGACTTTAGTCTTTGCAACTTTACAGATCTTCTTTATGCACCTTGTAACACTTCAAAGAGAAATGAAAAATTTTAATTGCATCATATGACCCCTTTAAAAAAAACACAGAAGCAGCACCGAAACGGCTCGCTGTGAACAGAGCTGTTTTTGACATAGTAAAAAAGGGTGTTGTTTTACACGAAAATTGAGGAATTTTAACCAAATTATGTTACTGACATTTCATGAAGACTCTAAAGAATCATACCAACTTGTGAAAAATGGGAATCCGATGTCCCCTTTAAATCAGCACACACAAAGTGATTTTAGGTGAACAATGTTACGGTTTATCACTAAACTCACTAAACTGCGTTCTCAAAACTCTGGCAATTTGATAATACCTAGAATATCAAAATCAACTGTGGGCGGCAGATCCTTTTCCTATTTAGCGCCCAAACTCTGGAATAACCTACCTAACATTGTTCGGGAGGCAGACACACTCTTGCAGTTTAAATCTAGATTAAAGACCCATCTCTTTAACCTGGCTTACACATAACACAAACACATTTCTAATATTCAAATCCGTTAAAGGATTGTTAGGCTGCATTAATTAGGACAACCCGAACCGGGAACACTTCCCATAACACCCGATGTACTTGCTACATCGTTAGAAGAATGGCATCTACACTAATAGTCTGTTTCTCTCTTATTCCGAGGTCACCGTAGCCACCAGATCCAGTCTGTATCCAGATCAGATGGTCACCGCTGCCACCAGATCCAGTCTGTATCCAGATCAGATGGTCACTGCAGTCACCCGGATCCAGTACATATTCAGACCAGATGGTGGATCAGCACCTAGAAAGGACCTCTACAGCCCTGAAAGACAGCGGAGACCAGGACAACTAGATGAGCCCCAGATACAGATCCCCTGTAAAGACCTTGTCTCAGACGACCACCGGGACAAGACCACAGGAACCAGATGAGTCCTCTGCACAATGTGACTTTGCTGCAGCCTGAAATTGAACTGCTGGTTTTGTCAGAGGAGAACTGGCCCCCCGACTGAGCCTGGTTTCTCCCAAGGTTTTTTCTCCATTCTGTCACCGATGGAGTTTTGGTTCCTTGCCGCTGTCGCCTCTGGCTTGCTTAGTTGGGGACACTTCATTTCCAGCGATATCGTTGACTTGATTGCAAATGATTGCAAAGATACTATTTAAACTGAACTGAGCTGGATGATGACATCACTGAATTCAATGATGAACTGCCTTTAACTGAAAAATTTGTGTTTACTATTGTCATTTTGCATTATTGACACTATTTTCCTAATTAATGCGGTTCAGTTGCTTTGACACAATCTGTATCGTTAAAAGCGCTATATAAATAAAGGTGACTTAAACATTAATGAAATCAATACTTCAAGAACTCAAGGTTGATAGTGAAACTTTTATTAATACACAAAACATGAACTTAGCGCTTGCCACCAACACGAGGAGCGTTGACCTTCATGGGCTTGGCAATTTTCTGTTTGGATGCAGCTTTAACAGGGGCCTAAAAACAACACAAACATGTTACTGACTATATGAAAGACATTCAAACACGAGGATTTATATTTGGTTTGCAATCATGTGTAGGACTATAAATGACACTGAGCACCCATTATTAAAAGGGTACTAGATGTAGACTTAGTCCTTCTACTCTATGCCACCTTATGACACAGAAGCGACAGAATCAGTCACACTGCAACGCCTCAAGGGGCAAAGAACAATCACACCTAGCTCATAGACTTATGGTTTTGAGTTTTTGTACAAACTCTCATCTTACCTTGGCGCTCTGGGTGGGTTGTTTCTTAGTCGCCTGCTTCGCTTTCTTGGCCTCCTTTGCAGCTCTGAAAGACCAGATCAAAAATACAGTTAGAAAGGAAATGTTCAGTTTTTGTTGCACCTGTCTCAATGTGTTAACCAGTTACAACTAGGGATGTGCGCGACGACTAATTTGACTGTCGTTTAAACGAAAGTTTTGTATCCGACTAGTCTAAAAGCAAGAAACCCCCCAAAAGATGGTAAGAAAAAAAAACCTCTGTGCGTGTGTGTAGCATAGCCTATATAAAAGCCTATATTTGAAATACTTAATCTATGAATCACACTGTCAAATCCCTCAATGAATTCCGCTTGCCGCACACTTGCCTCGCGTTATCATTTCATTTTAGAATCAGAATCAGAATCAGAAGAGCTTTATTACCAAGTATGTTTACACACACAAGGAAAAATTCCTGCACTTGAAAAAACGCGCTCGGCAGGAACTGAAGTCGATAATGCAGAGATAACGAAAAACAAGCCGACAGAGTTTCAGAAAGTGCCTGGACATCCCGCACCACCACCGAAGTGGGTGTTTGTTAGAGGAATAGACGGCGCAGATGGGATCGCAGCACCGGCAGGTTGTAGTGAATGACGTGATTGACATTTGCTGGCTTTGGCCAGCCTCTAAGCTAACGCCTACGTGCCTGTATTGAATATGATTACGCATCGCTCCAGTAGAGTTATTGTAAGACAATTTGACATTACACAGTTTACACAAAACTTTTCCGTTTCCTTCTAATTCAAAATAATCCCACACCTTCTCGTCTTTCGCATGGTCATTTTTGAACCCGCCGCAACTGACACGAAGAAAACGCATGTGAGGTCTGAGGTAAAAATGTAGTTTTCCGCCCAGATAAACATTTAAAAACAATGTATTATTTTTCAAACGTTTTATTTTAACTTATTTAAAATGTTTTAAATGCAATGTTAAAATGATGGTAATGTGAATGATAAAATCCTGTGTTTGTTTTTCTTTTCTTTTTTCTGTCGTGTAATCGACTATTGTTTTCAGTGTCGACTAGTAGGAGCTGTTCCGTTTAGTCGACTAGACCCGCACATCCCTAGTTACAACCCTGTTTAAGACAAATAATTTTAAGAATTGTAGGTCTTCTAAAATAAATTTAATAACTTAATTTAATAATAATCTACAGCCAAAAACCATAACACTTTTGTGACTTATTCATATATGACCCCACAATGACGTCTGAAGAGTGTTACAAAATCAACTTGAAATGAACAGATATTACATTTGAAAAATCTTTAAAGTGAATTAAAAGCATTAAGGTCATTGTACCGAAAAGGTTTAGGAACAAAAAAAATTGTACCCTGGAGGTCCAGGGTCCTCAAAGAAAGGAAGGGCACAGAAAAATTGAGGTGATCACCTGATGGCCTGCTCCCTCTGCGCTTTACGCACTTCAGGCTTCTGGTTCCTCTTGGCCAGAATCTCAGCCAGTGAGGCACCAGTGATGGCCCGCTGGAACTTCACTGCACGACGGGAGCGCTTCTTAGCCACCTCTTCCTAAAAGAGCAAAAAGACATTGGAAAATTCCTAATTCAATTTAATGTGATTTATGAGTGATGTAAATGACTGCTGCACTTGTGATAGCGTGCATGTTAACAGAGGAAAAGAAAGAGCAGAGAGCCCCTCCCCATGCACTCTCTTTGTCTTCAAACTAACCACTCTTTCCTCTCCCTCCCTCGGACATATTAATAAAAATCAACTAACATGATGGTTAAAGGTCGGAAGAGCGAATCCTTGTTTCATGTGGTGCATTCGGATAATTTTTTTTCCTGAATTACCGCTGGGTGTGAATTACGCTCAAAAAACCTTATCTTCTCCAAAAAGCATTCCACACACGCAGCTGACAAACCACTTAAAAAAAAAAAAAAAAAAAAAAATCCTATCCAGGGATGAAGTGTTTTCGGG